GCCGCTGGTTTGGCCGACCTCCCTCCGCAGTACTCGTAAGGAGTACGCCCGCGCCTGAGGCACATCGCTCCGCGCACCTAATACACCACAACAACACCGCCCACCATGAAGTTCTCCCTCTCCAAGTCGCTGCTATGGCTCGCAGCCATCGCGGCGCCCGTCGTCTCGGGCGAGCGCATCATCGAATCCAAGTCGCTCAACCCGTGCATGTCCAACTCCAGCTTCTCCGCCACCCTCTTCAACGTCGCATTCACCCCCAGCAACCGCAGTCTGGGCTTCAAGATCGAGGGTATCTCCAACATTGCCGGCAAGATTGAGGCCGACATCGAACTGCTCGTCTACGGATACTCCGCCATGAACGAGAAGCTCGACCCCTGCGGTCAGAAGGAGCTCGAGGGCATGTGCCCAATGAACGCCGGACCGCTGACTATCAAATCCAACATCGACATTAGCCAGGACATCATGAGCGTCATCCCAGGTAAGAAACGTCCAAAGTTGCTGCCCAACCCCCCTAACACCACACAGGCATCGCATACACAATCCCCGATCTCGACGCAGTCGTACGAGTCAAGATCAGGTCTGCAGAGACGCATCAACAACTCGCATGTGTAGAAGCAGAGCTGTCAAACGGACATTCGGTCGACCAGAAGGCTGTGGCATGGGTGACGGCTGTCATAGCGGGTCTGGGTCTCATGGCATCCGCTATAACGTCTGGACTGGGTCATTCCAACACCGCCGCGCACGTTGCCGCCAACGCCATGTCGCTATTCGGTTACTTCCAAGCGCAGGCCTTCATCGGTCTCTGCGCCGTCCCTCTCCCACCCATCGTGTCCGCCTGGACCCAGAACTTCCAATGGACCATGGGTCTCATCCGTGTTCAATTCCTTCAGGATATGGCAACATGGTACCAGCGTGCTACTGGCGGAAGCCCGACCACCTACCTGTCCCAGCTGTCGTACATCTCCATTGAGGTCCAGAAGTCGAGGAAGATGAGGCGTGCGCTGGACTTCACCACCGGAGCTGTCGGTCGTCTCATGGCCCGTAGTAACGCTGCCGCCACCGAGGCACAGGCTGGAGGAGACCGCTTGGTTCTCCACGGCATCGAGCGTGTTGGTTTCAAGGCCAAGATCGAAACGACCAACATCTTCTTCACTGGATACACCTTCTTCGTCATCTTTGTCCTCTTTACCGTCATCGGTGTCGTGGCTTTCAAGTACATCTGCGAGGGTCTAGTCAAGGCCGGCAAGATGAAGGGCGACAAGTTCGTCGACTTCCGCAACGGCTGGCAGACTGTGCTCAAGGGTATTCTCTTCCGTGTCGTCCTCATTGGCTTCCCGCAGATGATGATGCTGAGCTTCTGGGAGTTAACTAAGCGTGACTCTGCTGGTCTGGTCGTTCTGGCTATCCTTTCTATGCTCACCATGATTGGTATCCTCGCATGGGCTTCTTCCAAGGTGGTCCGAATCGCCCAGCGCTCCATCGCCATGCACAAGAACCCTGCATACATCCTCTACTCGGACCCTGTCGCGCTCAACAAGTGGGGCTTCCTCTACGTTCAGTTCAAGGCGGCCGCCTACTGGTTCATCATCCCATGGCTCGGATACCTCCTTATCAAGGCCATGTTTGTCGGTCTTGCGCAAGGTGCATTCAAGGTTCAGGCCATCGCCATCGTTCTCATCGAGGCTGCTCTGCTTGTCGGTGTATGCGTCCTTCGTCCCTGGATGGACAAGAAGACCAATGGTTTCAACATTGCCATTGCTGCTGTCAACTTCCTCAGCGCCTTCTTCCTGTTGATGTTCACCGAGATTTTCAACCAGCCTGTAAGTAGCCCTCACTCCCACCACGATTCCCAACTAACGTTCGTAGGCTATCGTCACTGGTGTCATGGGTGTCATCTTCTTCATCATTAATGCCGCCTTCGCCCTGATCCTCCTTCTCATGCTTCTTGTCTCGTCTGGATTCGCTCTGTTCACCAAGAACCCCGATACCCGCTACCAGCCAATGCGCGACGACCGTGGCTCCTTCATCAAGTCGCAAACTCAGCTAACTACTGAGCTCGACGCACTCGGTGCGACTGCTCGTGGTGAGGGCAAGGGCACCCACCCATACACCGGATCACGAAGCCGCATTGATGACGATGACGACTACTCTTCCGAAGAGCAGCGCCAAATGGCTGCTAAGGAGGGCGGCTTCAACGAGCACTACGCTGCCGTGCCACCACGGAGCCAGGGCAATGACGGAACTGTCTCACCAGCACCGCCATCCTTCTACGAGCGCCGCAGCCCAGCACCATCATACCGTCCTGGTAGCAACGGCCAAGGTCAACAACAGTACCGACAGGCCAATACCTCAAGCCCATGGCAACGAGGCGCAGGATACGATAATTGACGCCAGAGCGAGCACGAGGAGCAGGTGGGCCAGATCATCGATTCGTATCATCGCTCCTCAGTCGCTCAGCAGCAGCAACATCAAAATCAACAAAACAGGTTCTGAGCTATCTATGCGTTTTGTGCATATCTTGGGTATCCACACCAATATACTGTAATCATCAATCGAAATGGGTTCACATGGCATCAGTGCAGAGGGCGCAATCACACGATTACCCATCATGAAGCCGGCGTTTTCTTCAATCTCTCTGTATCCGGTTGGGCAGAGAGTGGTACTTTTGGGTTTTCCGTTGACTGATCAGCATGGAGGATGATAATACCTATATCCATCTCGTATATATGTAGTCTTTCTACCCCTGGCACTTCATCGGTTGCTCTTTTCTCTTTGTGTCTGGGTGTCCTTATCTCCTTTGTTCAAGCAATGGGCGCAGCGGAAGACTATTACCAATTCCCTTCAGCGTTTCTGTTCGCAGCGTAGTACCGTGGTCCAGCGTAGGACGGACAGTCGATCGGCGGTGGCTCGGTGAGAAGGAGATAGAGTAGCAGAGCAATGAATCGTCGATTATCCAAGTTGATCTATCTTCTCCCTTTGCACCTACCGTGGACTTGATAAGAAGCAAATTTGAGCGATGAAGTTTTTGACCCGAAGGATGGCTAACCCCTAAGTATACAGATCAGATGGTTCGCAGCGTGAGGTTTGGTCGGGCTCCACTCTCGTGCATGGCGGCTATTCGAGGTTGGTAGATTGGGCTGTCAAATTTCGCTTATCAGCGTTGTACATGCCTAATCTGGCGTGCGCGATATCAACAGGATGGATCTGAGGATGACTCCCACGTTTTGGTGAACGGGTGGCTTGAGGAATCACCCGATGGGCAATTGAGCAGTGCAAGCTCGATAGCCCCCACATGCAGCCGTGTGCATCTAGCGCAATCTGCGAACTATACGTGCGGTCGATAAGCCCACGCCCGTTGTCCTAGTCTTGGTTCGAAAGCTTGAAGCTCAGCTACGTCAACAAAAAACACTTTATTGAGCTACCGGCATTTCATCCGGGGTAGTTTGTTCACGATGCTTGATGCCGCAAGCGCAGAGCAGGGGGCGTCGGCGGAGTTGCCCCAGTTTTCACAGTAAGCGCTGACGAAAGAAGGTATAACGAAGGTCACGATGCAGGATAAGTCTTTTCGGTGATGACAGCATGTAGTAGATGATCTTCAGCCGCTCAGCTCATCTCCACGTTTCGCTGTCATGGTGGCTCGGACGGGACGGCAGTCAAAAGATACACCAGCGATGTGAGCCAACGACAAGCTAGCGATAACTCACGATAGCTCCACAGCCTTCACGATCTCATGACTTAGCTGTGACAAGTGCGACAGGTGCCGCAGCCCATCTCCACCAGCCACGGTGTTAATAACGACGTCACAGAAAAGAAGCACCGAAAGTCTCCAGAGAAGCTCCGAGCAAAAACGTCAAGTTTCGCATGTCCATCCAAGCAGAGAGCGCGAGGCATGGCACGCAGCCAAACGTGTCGCACACAAAGGCCAACCCTGGATGGGGAATGGTGAGGTCGCGCAGCCCAATCAAACCACGCACGTTCACCCAGCGCAGGCCAGTAATTGGGGACCCGTAGCCAAGGACAGCGCGCCATCAGTGCGCTACCGCTCTTAGCCAGCTGCGCGACCACCCGGCTAGGAAAGACGTGTGAATGGGTGGGCTTCTGGAATCACGGAGGTGTTCCCAGGGGATGCGCTTTGTCTCTTCCCCCCCACCGAATCATCGGCGTCCAACAGCGCTGCCTAAGATTGCTATCGCGTTGGTACGGGTAGGGATTCCACGAGTGCCACCCGTCGTCCCCGGATACTCCGGGGCGCAGCGCGGTTCTTTGCTTATAGACCCGTTTGCAGGTCCCGATCGCTTTTCGACTCATCGACACACAGCCAACAACGCTTTGGCTGCGGGCCTTCCGCACGCGCCGCCCATCGTTTTATTGCGACTATCATCGACAATGCTTCTTACTCTCTAGTAGGTTGCGCGGTAGCCTGCTTGTGGATCCGTCCTCTTATCTCGTGTACCTTTACCTGTAGCACTATACTATCTCCCTTTCTTTGTTGGTTCCCATCTCTCGGTTCCAGACCCAGGTTTGACACGCCCCGTTCAAAAAGAGACGTCCACTCACCTTTTTTGCTTTGCAACGTTTCTTGTCTTGTTTGAGAATTCGTTCCTGTTTCGCATCGTCTCTTCAAGTTCCCTGGACCTTTCCCTCCCGCGCTGTTGCTTCAAGCTTCAGGCAACAGTTCTCCACGCGCTACTCGCACGCTGTAACTCTACCGCGTGACTTGTCAAACTTGAACATCGTCAAGCAACTCTTACTGTAAAACGAACATGGCGCAACTTTCACGGTTCACTTTCCCTGCTTCAAGGGAAGATCCGCCGATAGTCGAATCATCAGCGACACCACTCACGCAGAAGAGGCAACAACCCCAACTTCACCTGCTGACGTACAGCGCATCAAGCCAAGATCATACGATCGGTGCGTCTGACAAGACATTCTCAAGACCGTTTGCCGTACGAACGCTTTCTACACCACCGACCTCTCCAACAAGGAAAAGATCTGTAACTATGGGTGCGCATGATCCCCGAAGCATGCACAACAGTGGTGCCGACACACCTCCCATCACACCTGGCAGCGCCTCGCATTCCAAGTCCAACTCGACGTCGTCCGACTTTCTAAGTTCGTTATCGAGTCTACGACGTGGCGATTCGATATCGTCCCTCAGCCGGCCTCGACTATCACTGGACGAGTCACCGCAACCTGTCAGCACCGAACTCACCACCTTCCCGTATCACCTAACGGACTACGAGTTCAAGACGGATGATCGCGGGCGTAAGAAGACCATCGGCGAAGGAGCCTGGAGCGATGTCTTCCTAGCGAAACCCTGCCCGCCCAAACCAACCGAACAGTCCCCATCACAGCCTCCCTGTGGCCCCGAAATGACTCCACCACTCACCCCAGTCCGAAGCATAGACTCTGGCGTAGACGTCAGTCGACTCCCCGCCACCCCACCCATGTACGCCGTAAAAGTACCAGCCATGACCAGCGCCAAAAAGGTACTCAGCGCAGAAGCAAGAATCCTATCTTACCTCTCCCGCTTCCCAGACGCAGAAAACCACATCGTCCCCTTCTACGGCCTAGACACACGCAACGGTGCCATCCTCCTCCAAGCCATGGACGACACGCTGGAAGGCTGGATTCAGAAGACGCTCAACACGCTGGACGAAGAGGCTCGAGCAGCGAGACTGGCTGAAGTATTCCCTAGCATCGCCCTCGCACTGCTCAACAGCTTAGCATGGATGCAAAACAAGGGATGTACCCACGCCGACATCAAACCCTCTAACATCCTCATCTCCTCTTCTTCCCCCCTATCAACCGCCGCGCCCAAATCCATCTACACAGACTTCTCCTCAACCATCCTCTCCCACCCTTCCGCCACCATCGAATCCACAGCCTCCCCCCTCGGCGCAGGGACATGGGATTACCTCGATCCGTCACTGCTCAGCTCCTCGTCTACTTCTCCTCCTTCCGCGACTTCAGATCTCTGGTCCTTGGCTATCACGTTGCTGTTTCTTATCCTGGGTGGCTCGCCGTATGATGCGTTCAAGGGGAATAAGTATCAGCAGAGGGAGATGATTAAGGCGGGGTGTCCGCTACAGGTTATGGGGCATGATGATTTGGGCGTGAGGAATTTGAAGAGGGTGCAGGGGTTGAGTAGGGATCTTGGGTTTGATCTTTTGGGGTGGTTTGGGAGGGTACTTGTTAAAGATGGGGGAAAGAGGGTTGATTTAAAGGAGTGGATGGGGGAGTTAGAGAGGAAGCTTTGAAAGGGCACTTATGCTGGGTAGGGTAGAGGGTTTAGACGCGTTCTTCTTTCTTTCTTGGAAGGGTATGTTTTCAATGGCGCTTGTTAGAGATAGAGAGCTGTTTTCTGTTCTGTGTCGCTGAGGACATTCGTTAGATACCCCGTTATTTATACCGTTATTGTAATTATATGTCAATGCTGGCTTTGATCAATGTCTTAGAGATCTTCTCGATTTCATCTGCAGATCCCAACATGCACACTGCCTAGAAGAAACTCCATTCTGAACTACCTACTCTACTCTCTCAATCTTACCTGTCTTTCTCTATACCCATGCTACATCTCTCATCCCACCCTTAATCCAACTTCGTCGTACCAAACAACCTATGCCCCGTATCCGTACCCCCCTTCCCCTTGTACTTATTCCCACTCTTCCTCAACGCCACAACCCACAACTCCTTGTCATCCCTCAACATCTGCGCAAACCCATTTCCATCCCCCTTCCCTCCTTCTTCTCCTTCCTTGACTACAACAGCGCCCTCCTGCACCACCCCTGCAACAACCACAACCCGAACTCGTGGACACGCCTCTCTCAACGGCACCATGAACTCCACAATCGACTTGCCGCTATTGATGACGGAATCGACAAGGATAACCGTACGCTTGCCCTCGAAGTTCTTGGGGTCGATGTCAGAAAAGACTTTTGCGTGGGCAAATGCCGCGCCGGGAAGCGCTTTGCTGACGCCGAAGGCCATGGGTTCGCCACCGCGCATCAGAGGGATGATCAAGGTGGCTTTTTCGTGGCGGAAACGGTAGCCGTCTGTGAAGCCGCCTTGGACGTGAGGGATGGCGATTTCTTCGAGCCCCGTGATGGTGCTCAGGTACGAGGTTGCGAGGTGGTAGCCTACCTGCTCGTGCGCTTTGCGTAGGCTGTGTGACTGCTTTGTCGCGTCGCGGGTTGGTGTCATGAGAAGCTTTGCGGAGGGCTGGCTTGTTGCATGCACGAAGCGGGTTGATGGATCGCTGTGAACGCGGAAGATGTGGTCTAGTTCTGTGTCGTCTAGGGTGGCTTTGGGTAGGGTATCGAGATCAAGACGTGGAGGGACGTTGGGTGGGAGGAGGACCTGGAGGGCGGATAGGCTGTTATCGGTGATGGCTTTGGCGAGGGTTTTCTCCATTGATGAGCTTCGGGTGGCTTCATTTCCTACTACGATGTATACGCCGTCTGCTTTATGGAACATAGCCATGTCGAGAGGGCTGTCTCCGAAGGCTAGTACGCGTAGCTTCTTCTTGTGGAGATGGTCGACGACGGCGCCTTTGAGTTCTCCAGTCACGACGTAGCCGTCTGAGATCGATCCGCCTCCGATGACCTTGATGTGCGCCAAATTGTTGCGTTCCAAGACTAGCTCCCACACTCGGCGGATCCCACATGTGACAATGAGTGCGTTCACATGCCGTGTGGTAAACCATCCAGCACGTGTGAGCATCTCGATCATATCGGGGTACATCTCGACTTTGGCCGCGACACTAGCACATATGGCATCGAAGTCATCTGCCTTCTCTTCGTAGAGCAGCATGGCCTGCCGGAAGGCTGCATACGAGTAACCACTTTGGAAGACTTCCTTCAAAGGACACTCGGAGGAGCCATTTGGGAGCGTTGTTTCCTTCCAGAACATCAGTCCAGTATCGTGAGGAGCCAGAGTCTTGTCCGCATCTAACAGAAGCACTGTATCTAGACCGCCCCGGTCGCTAAGCGCAGTATCGACGGCCTGCTCAACTGCAGTCGTATTTCTAGCCTCATCGTGGCCCCCAAAGTTGTTCAACAGTGCTGCGAGTCGCTTTTCAGTTTGTCCCGAAGCCGTGGTAGACGTCTCGGTGATCGTGGTAAATAGTATACCGTGATCACGACAGATGGCACGAAGTTCCATTATCTCGGCTTCTTGCCACTTCCGTAGGTGCTGAACCGGAAGTTGTTTGCGCTCTCTGATCTCGTCCTCTTCGGTACGCGTGGCAACGATCTCTGGGTCGACCAAGAGGTAGATGATGTGTGTGTAAGTTGCCCAGTCTTTCTCTGTACCCACTCTATTCGATTCGGCCTTGTCGCCTGCCTGCCAGAACATGTAATGACCCGAAATAACCCCTGTCTTGACGTTTGCCTGGCATTGACTGGCAGCGAGGGAGAGGGCTTGTTCGCGGGCCTCGTACTGTTGTTCATTGTTCATCTTCTTGAAAGCATCCAATCCACCGCCCACAACGTTCTCCAAAAGCGAAGAGCCATCAAAGAAGGTGAATTGTTGGTGTGCAAAGTCGTTGTCGTTCTTTAATTGCTTTAGCAGATATGACTTGCCGCTTCCAGAGATTCCGTAGAGTCCAATCACGGTGGGTTTGACGGGTTCAGTCGATCCTGATGAGATTTGAGTGTCGGTCATCTTGTTGAATGTCTGATGTTTTGAGGAAGAACGGTAGCATCATGTGTACGCGGGTAGCTCTACTATAAGTGTGGGAATGCGAGTTGCTTGCTGCCTGCGCACGAGAACAGAACATGCTGTGGCAGTCAAGCACGCTTGCACAGCATAGCTTGCGCGCATCTACGAAAATCAGCTGGGTCAGTGGGGTATGTCATGTGCAGTTTACATCAACCATTTCGACAGGACATCTCTTGATAGTTGTGAAAGTCAAAGTATGCTTCTCTATTCAATGTGAATAATTCATCCTTCCAAGCAGGAAACCGTCAAAGTTGATTCGACGCCATACCAAACGCTATGCATACCGTCCCAATATGTGTTGAATAAGAAGCCCACCCAGATGCTGTTGAACATGCCTAGTGCGCCGAAGAACGCCAATCGTCGTCTCATCATACATGATTGTTCCAAATGAAGCTTGTTGAACGCTTCACTTGGGGTTGTACACCTTTTGTTCCATCAAAGTCTAGAACATGCCGTTGATCTCGCCAGTCTCAACATCGACGTCGATGTTGAGGTATCCGGGAGCAGTGGGCAGACCGGGAATAGTCTGGATATCCGCTGCGAGCGCATACAGGTATCCAGCACCAGCTGCCATGCGGACATCCCTGATGGGAACGGTGAAGCCAGTTGGGGCGCCCTTGAGGCTCGGGTCGTGAGACAGAGAGTACTGTGTCTTGGCTACGCAGATGGGCAGGTTGCCGAAGCCCTGCTTGACGTAGGTGTCGACCTTCTTCTGGGCGAGCTCGGAGAACTCGACAGCGGAAGCACCATACATCTTCTTGGCGATGGTCTCCATGCGCTCTTGTACTGTACCGCTGTTGACGTCGTAGAGAAGCTTGTAGTCGGGCTTGGGCTTGGCAGAGGCCTTGATGATGCCCTCTGCAAGGTCTACAGCACCCTTTCCACCCTCCGCAAAGTGGTTGGCTGGGATGGCGTCCTCAGCACCGGCAGCGATAGCCTCCTCGCGGATAACGTCGATTTCGGCTTGGGTATCGGTGGCGAAGCGGTTGATGGCTACAACGACGGGGACACCATACTGCTTGGCGTTCTCAATGTGCTTCTTGAGGTTGACGCAACCAGCGCGGAGAATGTCAACGTTCTCGGTACGGTAGACTTCAGGCAGTTGGGCGCCGGGGCTGATGTCGGGGCCACCACCGTGGTTCTTGAGAGCACGGACGGTTGCGACAATAACAACAGTGTCGGGCACGAGACCGGAGGAGCGGCACTTGATATTGAAGAAGCGCTCGCCACCCATGGTAAAGTCGAAGCCAGCCTCGGTCACAACGAAACCGGTCTGGGCGTCGTGGTCCTCATCAGGCTCAGTACCGGCCAGCTTGAGGGCAAGCCTGTCTGCGATGACGGAAGAAGCACCAATACTGATGTTTGCGAAGGGACCAGCGTGAACGAAGACGGGAGTGCCCTCAAGGGTTTGCATCATGTTGGGCTTGATGGCATCAGTAAGCAGAGCAGTTAGAGCACCGCCAGCACCGATGTCGTCGCAGGTAACAGGGTCACCAGCGCGTGAGCTGGCAACGACCATGCTACCAAGACGCTCACGGAGGTCCGAGAGATCCTTGCTGAGCGCGAGGATAGCCATGCACTCACTGGCGACCGAGATGTCAAAGCCAGTCTCGCGAGTCTGGCCCTTCTCTGTTGGCGCCTGGCCAACTGTGATCTTGCGCAGATGCCTGTCGTTGACATCTAGCACACGTCGCCAGGTGATGGTCTCTGGGTCGATGTCAAGCCTGGCGAACTTGGAGACCTCCTCCTCGGTCAGATCATCTGGGTTCGTCTTGTCGATACCGAGCTTCTTGAGACGGCGGAACATGACGGGCACAAACTCGCGCTTGCCCTTCTTGGCTGGAACTAAACGCTTGTACAGAGCAGCATCCTTCTGAGTGTTCTCGTGGAACATGCGCGTCTCGATAGCAGCGGCAAGCAGGTTGTTCGCGGCGGTGATGGCGTGGATGTCACCAGTAAGATGGAGGTTGAACTGGTCCATGGGGATGACTTGGCTGTAACCTCCACCAGCAGCTCCGCCCTTGATACCGAAAGTCGGCCCCATGCTGGGCTGACGCACGTTGGCGAAGCATATCCTGCCAAGGTGTGCGCCCAATGCTTGCGCGACACCGATTGTGGTGGTCGACTTACCCTCGCCGAGCGGCGTGGGAGTGATACCGGCGATGAGGACGTACCTTCCGTTGCGGCGGTGTTCGAGTCGCTTCAGCAGGGACAGATCGACCTTGGCTTTTGTCGCGCCGTATGGCTCGAGCTCGTGTGGCAGGATGCCAACCTCCTTCGCTACGGTTGTGATCTGCTTGGGGTGCTGCTTCCGCGAGATTTCGTGATCGGCGGGTATGGGGTCTTCGATGCGGATGGGAAGAGCCGAGATCTTGCGCTTCTTCTGCCTGTCGAAAGTCGCGTCGGCCGAGTCGACGAGGTTCTGTAGCAGCATGGCAATGGTCATGGGGCCTACACCGCCAGGTACCGGGGTGATGTGCGAAGCTACCTCGACGGCGGAGTCGTAGTCGACGTCTCCTACCAGCCTCTGTCCGCTCTT